GTGTGATTTTATTACATTCAGAAGAGGGTTTTTTGAGCAGCTGCTTTTTTCTACATTTTCTGTACAACTGCTATCGACACCAGGACTCTACTAGACTCTACTAGACTCTACTAGAGTGACTTTACATGTTTCATTGTTTAAAATGGTCTTTATGTATCTTATACTGGAGGGTAACCCCTCAGTTTACACGACTGAAAGCCAGTTTTCTCAAATAGGTTTGAGTAGCAGGTGGGTTGGGATGCTGCCGACTGGAGATGCCAATATTAACCCTTTAAAGCCTGAACCATGAAATAAATGCCAAGAAATTCTAATCTTTTGAAGATGGAGTGTTTATTAAACCCTCATTATTTTAAATTAATTAAAAATACTTTGAATATATTTCTGTTAATTGTGATTTATTGCTTAAAAACGTATTGTACAGTTGTTAAAGGATTAAGAAAATCCCCTCTCAAAACATCATACAGAGCCAGGGATTACTTGTATATGCTTGGACAAGTTTAATGGCGATATCTGTAATGTTAACTGTGTATTTGTGGTGCATCTGTTAAAAATATAATAAAGCAGAAGTCTACAAAGATCTACAGAAGTCTGGTGGTTTAAAAAAAAAGTCAGAGGATTCAAAAGTTTAGGCCCTGAGAACAAATACAAAACTTGAATTGTTATAAAATCCACACGATTGTTTTAAATAAAAACATTCACTGTGTGGAGAATTGGGTTCCTACCTTCAAGGATAACTTGGAAAAGAAGTCGGAAACTTTTCTGAGCCTGGCAAAAACAGAGGATTCGATGTTTCCAAAAGGTTTAGGAAATATCATGAAGACATGTTCGCGACTTCTGTTTTCCTTTCATAAGCAGAAGGTGATACAGAGGTTTGAACTGACAGCTGCAAGTTCAAACAAGACAGGATGGAGGTAACACTCCGACAGACGTTATTCATGAGAGCCGTATTCTGTGATAAAAGACTTAACGGATACCTGAACGCAGCAGCAAACATCCTGAAGCCGAACAGCTTTCGGGTTTCGTGACAAACCGGTTGCCAAGTGTGTTTCACAGTCAGGTAGCCGGGTAACAGAGCAGTCTTTGTGGAGGTTTTTCCATACCTGCTGGTGCAACCCAAACCTCTATTTCTGGGGTGAGTTGTTTTTAACACTGTGACCACGCCATGCTCATTGAGCACTGACAATGACTGATCTCAGCGCTGCATTCCTGCTGTGAAGTCTGGCGCGAGAATGAGCGACAGGTAGGGAGATGACCTCTCCGGTTTCCTTTTTGTCTCAGTGATGATGATGATGATGATGAAGCCCCGTCTTTCTGGACAAAACTGTTACTTAATAAGCTTTACATCAAACAGCACACAAGTTACTATGAGACAACATTTATTTGCTGAAGTTTAAGCAATCAATCAATCAGAAGAGCTGTAAAATCCTTTATATAACATAACATTTCCTCCAAAATAAAACGTCTCTCATTCCCAAGTCCTTCCGATTGTCAGAAAAAGGAATTCTCTGGTTTCCCAAGTCTGTTATACCTCTGTTAATGCTTAGCAGAATCTGGTGACGGCAACATCTGTTTTTCAGGAAGATCGCTGATACATTTCCATCTTGAAACGTCAACAAATGGAAACCATGGAGATCTGTTCACAAAGTAAAAGTGCATACATTTTACAAATGGTGTCAGATCTGCTGATGTGTCCTGTGCTGCAGACAGGGAGTACCTCGGGCCATGCTGGTCAACCACAGCAGCTCTGTCACGCTTTGTGCCTACCCTCCAGCAACTCGCTCTGCGGCCAATTGGCCGGGCCTCATGCATAGCTTCTCTGGCACCAGCCTCGTCTGGCGTGTTTCTGTCTGTGACAGGTCGCATCCTGCCCACTAAAAATTGTGTAATCCTCTATTTCCCGTGCTGAGAGCCCTGTCAGCTCTGTCCAAAGTCAGCAAAGCCCTTGGTTGCCGCGAAGGCGTCAGGCTGCAGAGGGAAGAAGTACTGCTGGGGAAGAAGGAAGCTGGTGTTCTGGGACGAGTGAGTGGCCATCGGGGGCTGATGGAGCTGCAACTGGGTGTGGGATGAAGGCAGCGGGTGCTGGATCCCTCCTGTCATGGGTGCTGGTGGGGATGTGTAAGGGGGAGGTGGAAGAAGAGTCTGTGGGGTCTGGGTGGGAGTGGAGGCTGACGATGAGACGGTGGCTGATACCAGGCAGCCATGCTGCTGCTGCCCCTGACCTCCGAGAGAAAACCTCCGCATGGAGCTACCTCCTCCGGCTGAACTGGAGCTGGTGGTAGCCGTGCTGGATTGCCGCGATGGGGCTCGCAGGCTTGGGGGAGCCGTGGTAAGGATCATGGGGATCGTTTCCCCCTGGCAGCTGCGTAAAGAGAAGCGAATGGGCTGCTGGGTCGGCTGCTTGGGCCTGAGACACGTGCAGCAGTAGACAGCCACCAGTGAGCCAACTATGATAAAGGCGATGAAGATGCTCCCCACCATCAGGAAGGGCACGTAGATGGGCTCTGTGGGGAAGGAAACACGGGCAATTTTTAAAAAACAAATCTGTAATATTAAACCATTTATCATACATTTCATCAGTGACAGTGACATCAGCTTATTTGGGTTTAATACAACTTACTATGTAATGTGCATACACCAGCCTCAAAATGTTTGCATAAGAGGAAATAAAGTCAGCAGCTCCATTACAAAGTCCTTATAAGTTTCACATAAAGTCTTACCTTGTGATAAACTAAGAAGCATGACTGTAGCTGTTAATAGTGGGAAAAATTGTGCTAAACGTTTCTAATCATGACATTTCTTTTAGGTTCTCCACAACGTTACGAACAAACAAAAGTCACATTCCTGCTGAAAACACAAACATCTCAAGTTACGCTTCATGAAGCCTTTTCACCAAAGAAATCCACATTAGTGTTTATTTATTTTTAAATGGGAAAACTGGGAAATTGTGAGCATACGATCCACTCCATTAAAGGCTTATAAGCTTATCCGTTGGGGAAATTTAAAGAAAACTGATAAAACCTCCCCCAACAGCAGGTCAGTCTAACACTCAAACGCCTCATAAAGAAGCCACAGAAAGGACTCGCCGTCTCCTGATGTTGTGATTACTTTAGTTTAGAAATTAGTGAGCTGTCAAAGCTAATGTGCTTTATTTCTGGGCAGCATAATAGACCTGTCTGTGTGAGAAGGGTTACACTCTTCAAAACATTCCTGGACTGCAAACCTGCGCCGCTTGATCAAATTTCCAACTAATTTCTGCTTACAAATTTTTGACAGGAATTTGTTTAAAGAGGTTTTAGCGGAGTGACTGGCGGGGTGGGTCATCGAAAACGTGTCCAGGTTTCCACTTTGCACTGATAATAATTTGGAGTGTGATGGAAACTGAAGGGAGCTGGATAAGAGCAGGTGGAACCTTAATGCTTCAAACAGCAAAGGATGTAAACCTCATATAAGAAAGCTGCAGTGGAAAAAGGTCTTACAAAACGCATTTTATACTCATTTCATATTTGAAATTCATATCAGAGTGCATTAGTGTCCTTCAGCAAAGGCACTGAACCTCTGAGTGCTCTGTGCTGTCTTAATTGTTCAGCTGACCTCTGACCTCTCTAGGAGGATCCGCTATAACTTAAATAGGCAAGTCCTTCTCACAGCGTCTCCGTGTTTACCTTTTAAACACTACAGGGTTAAATAAAGTAAACAGAGTTTAGTCATGTGTGTTTTTCTCCATTCAACGAATTAAACTCTAATAAATTTGGATTTTTCTGAGGTCTTGCTTAAATTACGCACATGACGAAGACCCGAGGAAATCGACACCACAATCTTGGACCTAAATTAGCTTAAAATCAGTGAACCTACGCGCTGCAAACTCGGTGTTATCCACCTCCCTGTCGTTGGTGCAGATGCCCTGGTCCAGCCGTGCGTCCGCTGCGGCGCAGCAGTAGCGCAGCGCGCAGGAGCCGCAGCAAACTGTGGCGTCCATAGTGTCAAAATCCTCCGGACACTGGAAACCCTCGTGATAATTTCCATTTGAGTCCAGCCACCCGTGGCAGTACTCTCCCTGAGCATCCGATATCCTGAGATTCCAGGTCAGATATCCCAGCAGCAGGCAGCTCAACAGGCGCACCATCCCGACGAGCCGCTGGGGTTCACGTTCCCTGCGTCCAGTGGGCTTCAGCTCAGAGCCTCAGTCCAAGTTTACACACTTTTCATTTGTGTTAATTCACCAAAAAAGAAACTAAACGATTGGATCCTAAGACGTGAAGTTAGGTCACCGTCATCTTCCCAGCGCTGGAATCGCTCTCAGTCTGCAGCTGCTCAAAGAGGGGGGGAATCCTTAATTGAATGCTCTCCGGGTTTCTTTTAAAAATCTCATTACGGAACTTCACTCTCATTCAAACGGGCTTCAGTCACCAGCTGATGCTGAACAACTTGCTTTGGAGTGTCGCTCCAAACTCTCCCGTAACGCGCCTGTGCGTTAAAGTGTGAGCAGAAGTTGTGCGCCCACCTCACTGCAGTTTTGCTGTTTTTGTGGTTGGGGTTGGGGCTGTGGGGGGGGACTAAGCGCGCACGCAACCTCTATTAACCGGACGTTGGGGATCACGTGGTGCAGAGGGAGCCCGGCGTGACTCTAAACGCTTCATTCCAATAAAGCCGCTCAAACAAGGCGCACGAGCTGGGCCACGCTTGTGTTCCAACTCTGCGGCTGTGCTTTAAAACAGGTGAACGCGGAGATATGTGACTCCAGCTTTGCTCGTCAGCATTTTATGTTGCAGTGCTGCACACAGATGAGCGTTTTAATTCTTCTTATTCCAGCAGCTTCTAGCAGCTGCCGAGCCTTACTCATTTTATCATTCACCTCACGTGTAATTATCACGGCCACGTTCGCCCTGCTGTTGTTTCATATTAGAGAGAAGTAAGAAGAAGTCTCCGCTAAAAGCAGAGAAAAACAGGTCCGTCTATTAAAAGCTCCGTTAAAAGGTATCGAGGCGGCGCCCCCGCGTGGCGCTGCGAACTTTTAGCCCCGTGGGCTGTTGGACAGCTGCTGGCCTGCCTTTGACGGACATCAGGTGAAGGGACTAAAATGATCACACACACGTGATTTTGTTTCCCAGTGAGTAGGTGTGCGGCTGGCAGTGCCCTTCAGCTTACCTGTTTATTGTAATCAGCAGTCGGGTCAAATCAGGGACAGTGATTGGGCCAAAAATGCTTTCTTTACATTCTCATTTATCAACTCATTCGTTTTTATTTGTTAGTAATTTTCCATTTCAATTTAAAAAAACAATACTTTGATATTGTCTTTTGGCCTGTTTGATTTTTGCCCTCAGGTTCGGTTATGTGTGGAAACATTTTCCTTCCATCTATGCCCGCGCTTTGAGCTCAGTAGCAAAATGGCCTCTGCCTTTTCTTCCTTTCTCCATTCTGTTTCATTATTTATTTATTTCTCTCTCTTTTTTCAAATTTTCAGATTGTAGGCTAACTGCTACAGCGCCCCGTTGTTCTCGCTGAGGATGTTGGCTACAAAAGGAGGCAGCCAGTGGCGCACAAGTCCCGCCTGTATTTCCCTCTGGAGGAGTCTCGGTATCGGCGCCCCCGACTGGGGATTGGAGCGGCGACTTGTCAGTAAATTAGCCCACCCTTCACAGTGTTTGTGAGGGAAACTGAGACAGTGACGGTCTGATCCCTCGCTTATCAGCTGCCTGTCACACCAGCACGCTAAGACACCGACCCGCAGCCATCCGCCGCGCTGTGACACCTGGCCGGTATGGAAGGAGAGATGCAGCCCGCAGATGAAGGGCCGTGCGCCCCGAAGATGTGCCGACAGCAGCGAGGTCCGTACAGCACCCTAAAAACCTTCCAGAGCAAGCGCTCTGCGGGCAAGTCGCGCTTTGACCGGTCCGCTGTGGTCGAGATGCCCCTGTTTGGAGACGGGCATCATTTCACTTTTCACCCCGAACAGCCTCATCCTTTCCAGCCGCACCATCATCAGCAACAGCGTCTGCAGCAGCAGCAGCTCCACCAAACCGGCGTTTCTATCAGCAGCAGCCAGCAGCATCACCGGACGACTCAGCAGCAGCAGCAACGTTTCCCATGTGAGACCAGGCCCAGCAGCAGGGTTCCGACATCCACCTCAGCGGCAGCATCTCTCGGTAGCCAGCAGCGGCACGGCAGCAGCGGCGGAGCAGAGCCCAGATTTTCTCCGGACTGCACCTACGGTATCAGCACAGGTGGGTTTTAAACTTGCCCAGAGTGTGGCACGAAAGTCACTTCTCTTAACGTCTAGGATATTCAGACTTTTACAGTCGTTGAGTCCAGATTAGTGAAACGCTGGAACAGTTGTTTTTCTTTCTTTTGGTTCGCCTCTTAGATGAATGAGTGCAAAGCTTCCAGAGTCAATAAACTTAAGGGTTGCAGGCAAAAAGCCAACATGTCTTTTGTTTGTCTCACATCACCTTCATGTTTTTGTTCCCATTTCTTGCTCCTGTCAGCAGTGATTGATGTGCTGTTGTGATGAGAGCAGTCATGATTGAATCTCTAGTGTGCATGTGCTAAAAATTACACCGGGTCTGCGCCTGTGTGTTTACTTGCGAATGTATATGTGTGTGTGTGCAAGAAGGGCTCTGTCTCCTGTTGTAACACATTGTTCCCTGCTCATTTTCTTCTCAGCTGCTGTTCATTAGAGGGGTGCACAGGAAGAAATGTGTTCCCCATGTGGAGGGCGGGTCCATGGGAACCAGCATTAAGATGAAAGCAATGAACCTAACCCTGGCATTACCAAGATTAAATATTAGACATCTCATCCCTTAATCAGATAATAATCTCGTTATCACTGCTGGCAGCAAAGACTCAATTTGCTGCTGCTTATTGTTGCTTTGGAGACAATCAAGTGCTCAGCCAGAGCTCCGGTCTCACTGCAAGCCCTGTATTAACTAACTTAGATGTGAAATGGCAAATTTGTGCATCAGGTAGGGCATATTTAACTTTTAAGTGATCGTTTATCTTTGACCAGCTCGCATCTGTGAAACCTGGGTCTCTTTGTTGTTTGCATCTATTTTGGCATGCACATGATCCTGATATCACTAATGAAACAGTCACATAAAACTGTGTTTCCCCTGCTCTAGTGAATCAGCCTATAATACACAAGATGTATCGTCCAATCAGAGCTAAAGCGTGCCATGCATTTCTTGCTGATAATGACACATCAAAGTGCTTCTATCTACACCACAGAAACAACTTAATGTTCCTCTTATGGCTCGGAAAAAGAAGAAACTTGATGTCCTTTCTTTCTCCGGAGGGCCTGGGATTCAGCAATCAGTTCAGCACACAATAACACAAATTGCATTGAAAAGCCTCTCCCAAAGAGTTGTGATTAAAATAAATGGGTCTCATAAATTTTCCCTCTGCCGACCGTGTTGTTTTTAATGAAATTTTATGAGACTCTCAGCTCGCAGTGCCACGGAATTGGTGAGAGAAGGAGACGAGAGTGGGGGCGGGGTGCACGGTGAAGGCGAATGATATCGGATACATCTCGACGGGTAAACAGAGACGGCACGCATATTAATAAATGCGACACATCTGCGCCAGGCTGATAGACACGTCTGAGCGAGTGGGAACGCAGCAATGGCCGCCTAGAATTCATTTTGTCTGTGTGTGTGTGTGTGTGTGTGTGTGTGTGTGTGTGGCCAGTGGACTCATAATCATTACAGAGAGGTGTGTGTGAGATCATCTCATTAGGACGTGCCTAGACTACCAGGGAAACTATCCACTGAGGCTTGTTTCTGGACAATAGCTCCATGCTCATTTTGTGAAACTGTGACTTTAGAGTTTATTGACATCTGAATAAATCTGTATAATCAAGCTGACATTTCCATGAGCAGAGGAGCCAAGTGTCTGCTGCTCTACTGGAACACTTTGCCACAATAAGACGTGGCAGAGAGCAAAAGAGAGCAAAGAGTAAAGGCAGGCGGAAAGAGTACAAACTGCAACCCCAAGAAACCCAATGCACACAATCACTCATGTTGTTGCCAGAACTGTAGCAGCTTAGAGCCTCATGTTTCAGCACTGGTGAAAAGTACAATATGTTTCATCAGGTAAGAACCTCAAACCTGATTTTACAAGCGAGGGTTCCTGCTTCAGTGCATTTCAGAACTTGGACATCTGTCAGCAGAAGTTATTGGTTACTCTGCTGTTTAAGACTTCAGCTAAAAAAACAAACATGAAGCCAAACTGAAGATTAAACCAGGGGGCTTAACACAGCATGTCGCTTTAGCTGAGGCATCGTCCTGTTTTAGGTTTCTATGCAATTCAAGCAAAACCATTTCCCTCTAAACACCTTCGTGTTATGGATGTATTAGTTAGATCCACCAATTTGGAGAGAGAACACAGGAGACACAGATGCAATGTAAAACAATATAGATATACTTATTTTCTTCTTATTGCATCAGGTAGAACCATCCCTATTCCGACAGCTGACCTTTTAAAACCAGACAGTTTCTCTACATTTATCCCTCCTTCTGGATCAGATGTCATCAACTCAGCTGCCTCTAGTTTGTCTTTCAGGCATTTATGTTTCCTGTACCCAGGCAGACCCTGTATAGGTGACACCAGAGTGAAGATGTAAGACCACACGCCCTTTCATCAAATTTAAAGTAGCAAACACAGACCTCGCTGTAATAAGGAGAGGTGATCAAATCTGTCTCACACAGTGCAAGAAGATCAGATTCTTAAACTCAGGCACAACAATGCTTTGTTTAAAATCTTACTAAGAGAAGTGAAATCACAGAAATCTGTGAGTTATACTGTCCTGGCTTCACTAATGCTGCATGTCACACCGTACATGACATTATTAGATTGTTCACATTTTGGAGGGATTTTACAGTTGTAGCTTTTCAAGGTGTTTTAATAATTGCAGCACTTAAACTGTTTAGTCCACTGGTTCGTCACGCAACGTTTGATACAGGAAGTGTAAAGTGTGCTCATCTCTGAGGTATGAATGGTGTAGGCTATACTTTGCATGTGTGTCTCCTGAAGGATTACTGCTGCACAGCGGAAAAGCCAGATAGAAGCCAACAAAGAAATTATTTCAAGCCTCAAACTCCTCAAGGACTTGTCTGCAGCTTTTGAGCTTATCACTACATCCTCAGCAGTGACTTGAGTTTGCTCACTTGTCCTGAAATCCTGTCACTGTAGGACTGTCTGCCTGTGTTAACTGATTGCATTGGTTAGTGGGTCAGCAGGGAGCATGTGAAAAAAGCCAAAAGCTCCAGCGAGTCTTATAAATGGACCTTGAGGGCAATGTTTGCTTGAGTGACTCTGCAAACACAAGCAGCTCATCTTAAATCCAATGACTGGCTGCTAATGTGAATGTCTGTTGTCTGCTTCAGAGAACCGTCTCATCTTAGATGCCTTCGCCCAGCAGTGCAGCCGAGTCCTCAGCCTCCTCAACAACGGGCGTCTCCTGGAGCCCTCCTCCTCCTCCTCCTCCATCACCTCTAACATTAAGCTGGAAGACGGGCCAGGGGACACTCAGGGGCTTCATTGCTCCTCACAGGGGAAGTCTAAATCCGAGGAGAGCTCTTCCACCACAGACCCTGAGGAGGAGGCTCAACAAAGCCATTTGAACCAACAACAGACCTCTGCAGTTCTCCGCATCTTCACAGACTCCCTGCAGAACTATCTGCTCTCAGGACCTCAACAACAGCACCAGCAGCAGCAACATCTGTCTGCTAGTCTGGAGGACGAGCAGTGCCCGGCACCTGAGTCTGGTTCAGGAGTGTCTCCTCCAAGACACAACCTGGGAGGATGGGGCTCCCCGACTCCATCAGAATCATACGGCCACCCCTCGTCCACGCTGCCTGAGGAGGAGGAGGAGGAGAACTGCTGTCCTCGCTGCCTGGAATTAGAGCAGGAGGTGTTGTCTCTGCAGCAGGAGAACGAGGAGCTCCGCAACAAGTTGGAGAACATCCCAGGTGCAGTAATAACAGCCAGGACACAGTGATGACTGCTTTAATCCTCACTCAACTGGGGACAGGAAATCTCTTCATCCCACAAATCTTTTTTTTATATGCTGCCATCTGACTTTTGATTTCATGTGCACGGCATTAATCGGTACCGATGATACACATCAATGCTATTTACAAAGCGTGTTATCGAGGGCTTCTGAGTAGTTGGTTTGCTTTATACTCTTATCTACTCGTATACACGTAACATGCATAGCATTTGTGTTGACATCATCACTGGAAGGACAGCAGAATCAAAGTCGGATTCTGATATAAACATTTAAAGTCCATGTAGTCAAATCCATACGTGTCATCTTTCTTACAGCGTTTATATGAGTGTTTGTTTTCATCTGTGAAAAATACTGAGCACAAAATGTGCTTGTGAGATCAACAAATTATTAGGAAGTGCTTCATTTTCTTCCTCATGCTTTTGCAATCTAAATGCATCCCACAGTTTAAAAAGTGTGTTCAAAGCATCTATTTTTGTTAACTTGTCTGCTCTCCCCAAAGCATCCTGAGCTCCCTGTTGTCACACTAGCCTAGTTTGCACTAAAACAACTTATTTTAACTGCACATAAAATTCTGTGTACAGTGTCTGATCGGGAAAAACCAGGTTGTAAAGATTTGTTAAAAAGGAAGAAAACATAGCAGGGTGTCAGTGTTTAAATGCAGCAGATGGGTTGTTCTTTGCTGCGATTTTGACCCTGGGCTTCTCTTTATGGTAACGTTCGCTTGTTTTTACACAGTTCCCTGTCAAAATGTTCTTGACTACTTCAAGACTGTTCTCGAGTTCCACAACCAGCTGGCCCAGCCGATGCCAGAGGAGCAGCTCACAGAGGTGAGGAAGCAGCCCCCTCTTCATTATTCAGAGCAGATGTCATCAGTAGCATATCTTAAGGTGGGGAAATATCACATCAGGTCAACAGTGCATTAGAAATGTCTTCATGCGGATAACTGTGAATGTAAGTGATGTGAAATTAAAAGCTCTGTCTATACAGGAAGAAGAGCGGCAAACAGTCTTTGAGGTTTGTGTCTTAACTTCTTGTTTGTTTGTTTTTAATTACATGATAGAAATGTCATGGAAAGCAACATCTTTAGTTTTCTCCTCCTCCTCCTCCTCACAGGGCAGTAAACAGCTCCTGGAGAACTATCCGCTCTTCATCACCAATAAGCAGTGGGACGAAGCTGTCAACTCCTCTAAGAAAGATGGCAGACGGCTGCTGCGCTATCTGATTCGCTATGTCTTCACCACAGATGAGCTCAAGTTCTCCTGTGGTTTAGGCAAAAGGAAGCGGTCAGTCCACTCAGGAGAGGCAGGCCTGGAAAGACGACCGCTCAACCCTGTTAAAGTCAGCTGCCTCAGAGGTAAAACTACAAAACATTATAGTTCACGACATATTTTAAATAGGAGGAAAACATTACAGGTTATTACTGTTTAAATACAGAAGATGTGGCCAGTTTCTATTTACGGGTCTATTTGCTCAAAAGGTCTTTTTACAAATTGCTTCACTCAAGGCTTGAATCAAGTGTGTGAAATATCCTGAGACCTTTATTGACACAGTTGTATGACTCTCATGTTAATCTTTTAATTATAAAATATGTTATTAGTGTTGCTTGATTGCCATAAGTGGCTTTCTCATTAGAGTGCTCCACTTCTTTAAACCACTGACAGACCTTAAAAGCAGCAGCAGCTATCTACAGTCTAAGATCTGATACATATGGGGTTTGTGGTCATGTGATGCAGATTATAGCAGCTTAAATTAAAGTTGTCTTAACTCCGGTTGCTAGGCAAAACCAGGAAAGTTTATGTGCGTTGCTATTTACATCTTACATCCAGAAAGCATTCAGATCCCTTCACATTTTGCTCTGGATTTAGTTTTAATGGATAAAAGTGCCCTTGTCCTCATGTTTGCCTTGTGGCAGTGTGGATGGTGGAACCTTACACACATGGGTTTGCTTTTCCAAAACTGTCCCATACGTTCATTTTGCCACATATGGACTCCAATCAAGGTTAATTAGCTCCTTAAGTCGTTGCCTTTTTTAATTCGATTTCCACCTGAAAAAACATCCCTGACTTTCATCGGTGAAAGCTCAAAGCTGTGAGGACTAAACGAGCAACTGTGGGAGAATTTTGAAATTTGAATTTTCTGCATACTCATTTCTCACTGTATACAAAATGTTATGTGACCGCAGTGAAGCACAACAATGCTATATCCATTTAGACTTTTGAACATTGAGTTGAAATCTATACGGCTGTGTGTGGTAGAAAGGATTCTAATAAACTGGATGCATCTGCTTATCTTAGAGAGCCACAGCAAAGAGTCACACTACTTGTAAATGAAGGATTTCAGTTTATGCTTTTAGTAAGTTTGCAAAAAAGAAACTTGAAACACATTTTTGTGTCTTTTTGGTTATTTGAGCATAGACTGATGGGAGAAAGTGGGCATTTTTAACCATTTAAAATTCAATACAGTGGCTTGGGTCTAAAAATGTTATTCAATAGACGGACAGATAGTATTTAGCAAAATAAAATACATCTCTGGATATGAAACACAAACTCATGATGGTGTAAATAAATATTTATAAGTTTCAAAGGGGATAGGTAGAAGTCTAACACTTACCGTTATAAAAACAACCAAACAGAAAACGGAGCTTTATACGAGCTACCGTCATTCTCATGGCTACAGTTATATGTGCGTTACAATAATAATGGAGTGTAACAGCTAGATGAGCAATATTCCCTGAATGAAGCAGAAAAACCAAACCACTTATTTACCGATTTAATCCATCCTCATAGCAGGAGTCTGTAATGAGTTTTTTTGTTCTGTTTTACTCTTGTATAGTATTAAAACTAATGTAAATATTACATTTTTAATATAGTTGATATGTGGCTTCCAGCATAGTTTAATATTTATTATCAACCATGGAAATTTAATTTGTATTTTTTAAATTCAATATTATTTATCATAATCATCTCACTGCTATAGATCCAGCAGTTTCCAAATATCATATATTTAGTTTTACTTAAGTTAAATATTAATTTGTTATTATCAACCCAGATTTTTAATGTATTTAATTTTCACATTCTGAAGTTGTTCCAAGTCATTACCACAGCACCTTAGCCTGTTGTTATCTGTTGTTTGTAATGTTCTTCTAATTTTACGCATATTATTCATGTTCAAAATGAACTTCAGTGGTCCTAACACAGATCCCTGAGGAACTCCACGTCGCAGTTTTAAATTGTGAGTCGATATCAGTCGATCATCAAAGATTGAACTTTTTTGGTTATTTCCTTCCTCTTTTGAGCTAAACACCCAAACACCACCCAGTAAGCCCAGGATGTCCTCTGTTTAGCACGTCCTGTCTTAGTAAGGTAGCTCAAATAAGTTGAAAGGTACAGACCAAAAAAAAAAATTAATTTTTTAAATTCCTAATCTTGCCAGAGTTTATCCGGATGCACTGTGCTTCAAACCCAGACTGGTGGATGCCCTCTGAGGAGCAGATCAACAAAGTGTTCAGCGATGCCGTCGGTCACGCTCGTCAGGGCCGAGCAGTCGGCACCTTTTTGGGCAGCAGCGGCAGCAGCACCAGCAGCCTGTACATGGACGGCTTTGACGGACATCTTTCACAGGATGAACTGTATTTAAAAAGCTGCCAGAACGGTCAGTTGGATTGAAGTTTAAGGAGAAGTTAAAGACAAATGCCTGAAATGTAGCTGTACAACAACATATCCCAAAACTCTGACCTTGTCACTTTACACAGTGAAGAAAACATTCCAGAAGACGTTTAACATATAGACTACAGTCCTCCTTTTCAAATAGTTTTATAGTTTTCCCCATTTTTATACCTAAACCCTTTGTTTAGTGAAAATTGGACTCTTGGAGGTTTTAAATTGAACAGGTTGAGTCTTCCATATGCTCCTTTTTTAAAGTTTGAGCAGTTACATCACTGCCAGTGGAAAGAAGTCACTTCAAGGAGGCTGATTTCTTTTTCTTTTCTTTGTTTTTACTTGTTTTTTTACAATCTACATGTGCATTTAGAGTTCATATGGAAGTTATTTATGTTAATGACCCAGTTAGAGACTTGTATGTATGTACCATTGACACCACTTATAAACTTTACCATGGAAAGTAGCACTTAATATATATTTTTTGTCACTGGTGAAGCACCTTTACTTGCAGCCCTTCAACAGGAGTGCCTCTGAGAAAATCATGTTTTGTTATTTGTAGTTTTGCACTTTGAATCTCTTTATTTTTCCCTCATTTAATGGAAGGAAAAGTGCATTTAAAAAGAGAAAAGTTTGTGAAATGACTTTGAATCCAGCCTCCTTTGGCTGGAAAATGTTTCAGTCAATGCTGCGTTGCTCCTAATCTTCATGTTAGGAAGAATATCGCAAGTTAATCAAAAGCACTATATTGGAAATTGCTAAAATGTAAAAAGTCAGTTTGGTTTTGACCCAACTTCCATTTTTGGCTTGTAAGAATTCCTCACGTCTGCAGAGGACACATGACATTTCTTGTTTGAATTACTGTGTGTAGCAGTGATATAATACTGATGTTTTTTCCACATAATAAACAAAAATTGCAGATTTAAGGAAAAAATGGAAGCCTGGGAAATGTTAATCAGGCTGTATCTTTTTATTTGAATGTTTGCATTTTTTACATCAATGTTTTTTTTCCTTTGCATTCTGAAAATTTGGAATTCAGCTAAAAGAGAATTTGCGGTATTTCGCGAGCATTCCCTTATTACAGTGTTGCCGTACTCGAGCATTTCATGTCGGCATTGATCAAGACATCTGGTTTAAGGCAGCTGCCATATAATAATGCCTTAAACTCGTTTGGAGACCACCACAGTGTAAAGTGTTAAAGATGTGTGTCAGAAATCCTGTAATGTGTTTCGTTTGTGTGTCGGTCTAAAGTTTCTTTAAACGTCAATCCAAGTGGAAAAAATGTGATCACTTCATCGTTTTCCTGCAACTTCTCCAATTTGCACCTTTAAGTGTCTTACTGTAGGCAAGGCAATCCTAAAGTGAGAAGTCCACGTGCAGGATTCAACCACTTTTATTCTTTTGTGCTTACTTGACGCTCATTGACTTCACCTCATGACACTGTTTTCTGCGTTTGAATGTACCAGATTTCTTAGGTCAGTCCGCCAAGTTGACAGTGCTGTGTAAATGTGTAATATAAAGTACAGTTATTGTGTGAGGTGTCTTTGAAATACCACTTCTCCCTCTTTAAAAAGCCAAGTAGAAAAGTGCCACAGAAACCTTAAACCAGTCGGATTCTGTTGTTGTGTTGCTGTTCTGAATGTGAGCGTTGGTTTGTATTTACTCCTTTACCCTCAAAGTGGCTGTTATCAACACTGTGAAACATCAGTTGGGTTTTTACAGATATAGTTTCTGTTGTTTTTTATTTATAATAAATAAAATAATACCTGAATCCTATCTCTCTATGAAACAGTATTATCTTTGTGACATTAAAGTTTGTCAAATCCATTTTCTAATAGAGTGATCCATCTGCTGGATTAATACTGTATGTACTTGTTAAAGACGGCCTTTTGTGCCGGCTGGGATCTTGGCAAGAAAAGCAAACATTATACATTTAATCCAATCACAGGTCATTTCACTGTACCAAAGCAGCAAAGAAGGAGACTAAGAGCATTCATCTTCAGTATTAACTTCTTATGTTCTGCCAATCAGAGATCTATCATTGACAAATACAGCTATTGTTAACAAATGTTAATGTTTACCACATAACTAATAATAAACCAGCTGGTACATAATTTAAATACATAAATTATCCTAAAAAATGTTGAAAGCATTATAAATGTTTGACATTAGTATTTTTCATATGTGGGTCGGAGACTGTAAAATTTCTTAGGCAGGCTGCTTTTTACTTGTTTAAAAAAAAGACTGAATGAATAATAGAAACACCTGTTACTGTCCCGCTCCTTAAGCTATAACACTACATCATATTTTATATCTTAATTTTATGAATCGGCAGTGTAATTAGCTGTAATATATGTGTAGTAGAAGAAAAGGTGCATAATTCAGACGAGGGATGAAAAGAAGTCTTGTAAAATGGAAATGTTTAAACAAGCCACAAAATCCTGTGGGAGATACTACAGAAATACAAAACTGCAGGGACTTCATGAAAATGATTTGGCTGAAAGGGAGTCGCTTAAAAAAATACAAAAAACAAACAGTACGTGTGCACAATAGAGTGGTAAGCTTAAAAACATCATCATAGCTAATCTGAAGAAAAAGAGAGGATGACAGGATGTGTTGTGTGCTTGTGCACAGCAAAACCAATGTGTGATTAATTAATAATCTAGGTAGGGAATGAAGGCAGGGTGGGCAGGTCATTTTTCCAAAGTGTCAGGTGAGAATCTAGGGAACCACGTCAGCTGTCATTGACTGTATGGCAGAAATGTCCTTTTAGTCCGTTTAGGTGTTTGCCAGGTGACTTCATATCATCTTATTACACCAGATATATCATAACATTCATGTTTTGTTTTAAATTTCTTTGCTGTCAAATTAAAATATCCTTTCCTAAGGTGGGGGACGTTGAAGTTCATAAACTTCAGACTTACTCAGCAAGGAAGCAAAAAAACCTCCTTGGACAGTCACGAACATTTGGCTATTGTTAAACAGCCTATATGTTAATATTTAAATCAGTCATTTGTGATTCAATGGTTTATTGTAGCTTAAGGGACATGATCACCTAACGTAATATTATATTAACTTTTTTTCTAGGCACAGTAAGCCAGGTAAACTTCAGCTGCATAAATATGAGAGCATTTTTACAACAATTAAATAATGTAACCGAGATATCAAGGAATCCGTTTGTGGTAAACAGCGCATAAAATTAGAAAGTCTACAGCGTCTGAGTTGTGTAAACTGCATGTATGACTGACCTGTCTCTGAAGTCCACTAGAGGGCGCTGCAGCTCCAGGATAATGTCCTCGGGAAAGGATTTTTTATCCCAACTAATATCATTTTTTTTTTTATTATTGTTGTTGTTTTTTATTTTTGATATTAGGAAGTAGAGCTCTCACAGGAAAAGCAGCTAGCAATATATTTTCATACATTAAAAAAATGTTTGATCACTTTTAGGAGTATAAATAGTTAAAATGATACGGATCAGTTTTCATTTGCCATTTACAAAACCCGAGTAATTTGTGACCTGGAGGCCCATATAACTGGTTTTACATTCAGCTTGCACTCAAATTAGACCTGAAGTCTGGTTGGAAACAACAGGCGAACACACTAAAAGACAGAAAAACAGGATGAGCTGCAGAATATTTGGCTTTGACAGAAGGTTCCGCCCAGAAACTTCAGTAAATCCATTTCCCGCATATTAAGCGAAGCTGCTGAAGCTGGTCTTTCTGGCTCAAACGCACTGACGTCGGCTCTGAGCAGAGCTTCTGCGCGTCGGTGGATCTGATGAAGCTTTGTTGGGTGTTCCTCTTTAATTCTGCGGCATCTCTCTGGTTGTCTGTGGGCCCGTGGAGGAGGGCGGGCCGTAAACGCTGGGCAGATCTGTGGACTGTAAGCTAACTGATGCGACGTGAGCCGAGCATGGATGATTTGAGCACGCAGCTCACCTAACGGGATTTGCATTTATTGAGTCATGGTAGTATGCGAAGCTGGAAGTTGAGGAGAAGCCGAGTCTGCTGTCTGGAAAGTGACCTCGGATAAACCCTCGGAGGCTTGGCCGACTTTGGACATTTTCTGCAGAGGGTTTTTTTGCGCAGCGCGGAAACTCCAGCACAGCGTGAAGGGGGATGATCTCCTAATCGACTGATAAAACACGCCACTAAGTAAATTAACGACTGCTGTCGCACACGCAGGGCCCCTTTGTAGCGGTGCAAGATGATGTCACTGATAGATCTGGACGATGATCAGAGATGGGTGCCCACTCATGTGAATGTCACCGTCCTCCGCGCAAAGGGACTGCGAACCAAGGGCAAGCATGGCAGCCGCTACCTCTACACCATCATCCAGGTGGGGAAGGAGAAGTACACCACCGGCCTCGTGGAGAAGGCGGAGGTGCCCGTGTGGAACGAGGAGTGCTGCTTCGAGCTGCTTCCCGGGATCCTAGAGGATGGCGGCCGGAGCGCCTACCCCCCGGGGAGCGGGGACCTGGTCCTCACGGTCATGCACCGAGTGCTTATCGGGCTGGATGTGTTTCTCGGTCAAACCATTATACCTCTTGATAAGATATTTCATGATGGAGGGTGTCCAAGAGATGAGTAGGTTGGCTTTTTATTAGTGCAACTTGCCTGCCAAACGTGTTGTTGTTTTCAGTTTAGTGCCACAAAGAAGTGATGTGTCTTTTTCTTTTTTTGTCAGACTATGACAAGATTATGTTAAATATGTTTTCCAGGAGAATGATGTGCAACTTTCAGGTCTTCATTAAAAGCATGTAGTTCATGAAAGATCTTGGGAATAGTTCCCATCTCACGCAGCAGTGATTATCAGTCATGTGCAACATTACAGCCCAAAAGGCAGCAGCTCCTTCCACGGGAGACTTTAGCAGTGGAATCAAATGTGCTGTTTTTGCAGGATGACGAAGAGGTTAGAAAGCTGCCAAGCCTTTAAAACTCGTTACACGCTGGCTCTTTGGCCCCCTGTCCCAATACAGAGATACTCCAGCAGCAGTTCCCACAATGCACCGCAGAAATATGAGATGAGATGCAGTTTTCACTGAGATCCATTGTAGCCAGAAGACCTCCATCTTTATCCCACATCATTTCAAAGGAGACATTTTCTCCAACTTGTAGGAGAATAAAAACATGACCTGTAAATAGGTTCCCATTAAAGAAACCCATTAATGCTTATATTCAGGATAAGATAAGAACCAGTTGAAGTAAAAGGCCAAAATATTGGCCAAACAAGACTAGTTGCTCTAAATGAAGTGTATCGCACTAAGCGCATTTGTTATAATCAAACCCACTGTCTTTCCTGGCCAAGCTGGAGAATCTCTGCAGGACTTCTGCATCCAGTTGTTGGCTGTCAAGTTGTCACAAAAGCTCCAGTATTATTTTATTTTAATGCTTTTTGCAGATTATTAACTCTGGCTTCCTTTTTTAAAACAAAAGCTGTTTATCTTTACTTTTTGTTTTTCAGTAATACAGTTGAAGAAAAGACACCAACAAAATGTTACAGGCTAGATTCTCCTCCCAATCCAAAGGGCTCTGGTTTTACTTTAAATTTAACCATGTGAGCAGAAGAAGGTTCTTATCTTTAGGTGTTACCCACCTTCATCTTTATATTCCGTCATTCGAGAGCTCGGCTGTGGCACAGGTGGCATAACTGGATGCATGACATTGGTGTGATACTCTTCCACTATTAACACTGAAGAGCAGAATGGAGTAAAGCAATACAGCACATCTGGCTTTAATTGTGGCTTCTCCGCCCTCTCGCCTCTCTCTCTCTACGCTCTGTGAAACTCATGCTGGATTCCTGCTGTTAGTTTTGGCTCTGTAACATCTTCTCTGGTCAAGTCTCAAGACTTTAGGAGGCATGAACAGAGGAAGGATTTTATTAGTTGACCTCTCATGTTGTCCATGTCTTTTTGTCCATACGTGCATACCAGGTGTAGGTGGGTAGATCTGGAGGAATTTGAGTGGTGATCTGCTGTCTGAGGCTTACAAAACAGTTTTTCCCAGGCAGTTTGACACAATCCCTGAACCAGTATTTTCAGGTTATGTAATATTTCGAAGGGCTTGCCAAAAGGAAATGGTTGTTTTTGTTTTGTTTTTTTGTTGTTGTTGCTAAAGTTCTGATTTCACCTTTAACCAGATATGGTAACAGTATCCTGCTCACGTGCTGTATTGTATTTCTGTTTCTTTTACTTCTGCAGGTGGTTCAAGCTCAACTCGAAGGCAGGAAGAAAGGAGAAGGAACGTGGCCAGCTCCAGATAACAGTCCAGTTCACCCGCAACAACATGACAGCCAGCATGTTCGACCTCACCATGAAGGACAAACCTCGCTCTGCGTTTGGAAAGCTCAAGGATCGTGTCACAGGGAGGAAGAGGGGGGACGTGGAGTCTTCATCGGCCATCGTGCCGGGCCGTTACGCCGCCCTTTCGGGATCCCTGGGGCAGCCGTTTGGAGAACAGAGCGTAGGGGTGGTGGAATCGCGTGATGTGGAGGTAGCAGAGGAGAAGAGGAGCAAGATGAAGGATTTCTTCAAAGGCAAGCTGCGGAAGTCGTCGGACACCAGGTCGTGTTCGTCTCTGGCTTCAGAGAGTAGTTTGTCTTCCATGGCCAGTGATAACCTTGGCCCTCCACCCAGTCTGGATCTGCTGTCAGACCCTCCCAGTTCCCCCATCTACACTAGCAAAGTGAGGGTTGACTCTCACTATGGGGAGACAGATTTAGCAAAAAAAGGTAGGCTTTGAAATAGTTCAAGAGCATAACGCAGAGTTAAAGAAAAAACCAAACCTTTTTTTCTGTTTTCTAGCAGCCATGCTACACAAATTCCACCT